GCCCTTGCACTGACTGTGGCACCCCTGTGTTCCCCTGCCTTGTGACTGACTGCTCTACTCTAGTCCTGTTCACCCATGGGTCCCTGCATCTGGTACAGTGTAGACTCCACTCTCTGATGAATCACCTACCTTTCTTGGAAACAAAGAGAAAGATATTGGTTACCTTCTTGTCTGTGTTTTCTCTTAAGGCACACATCCCTAACACAGATGGGACAGGGGGGTTCCGGACGATGTGGGAAACTCAGTTGGACAAGAATCAATCAGTGGACTGAGAGTGCCTGCCTTAGTTCTTGTGCTGTGTGGCCTCATATCAGTAATGTAACCTCTCTGGACTTCTGTTTCCTGTCTCCACACTGGAACTAAACCTGTAACTTGCTTTACTAAGAATTAGGGGGCTCAAAAGGTAGAAACAAGGTAGAAATTCCTTGAAGGAAAACATAAATAAAAGAGATGTCTGAAGTACAATGTCCTTCAGCAGAACCTGATTGAAGCACACATCTTGGAAAGCCAAGGTCCTTGTGTCCCCAGGATTTTTTCTGAAAGACCTGAGATTATGACACGAATATGCAATTGAGTGGCCTTGTCTCATCCTCAGGACCCCATCCTGAGTCCCCCTGGTTCTAACTGTGCTCTAGGAGTGTCCACAACTGTATTCTGACAAAGGAGTTGTTTGCAGCTCCAGGGGGGTTAGCTGAGACCTAACACGCACCCATGCACAGAGCTAGTTCTGAACTTGCCCAGAAGCAGAAGAGCTGTGAGGTGAGAGTCCTCCCCTCCCAACCCAAAGGCTTAGCCCACAAAGACATTTCCCCCGATGGAAGTCAGACCTCACTAGAGTATACACTGCTGAAGAGAACTGTCTTGTTGTTCCATGAGGCCCCAGGCCTTAGCCCTGCATAGCTGTTCCATCAGCATCCAGAAGAAGAGCCCTTCCCTATGCGGCCTTTAGCAAGGCAGGTGTGCTGAGCTGACCTTCAAGACCTTCAGCCCCCACCCTTCCTGCCACTCAGGAAGTGCCAAGTTTACCATTAATAGAACTCTTAGCCAATGATCCCCAAAGGCTATGTAACTGCATGTCCATCACTAGGGTCCTAAGGTGCACATATGATGTGATTGCTCTGCCCTGCCTAGCCATGCTCTGCTCCATGGTACAGTCTTTCTCACCTGCAATTGTGGACCATGAGAATGTGAACTTGAAATTCAGAGGCCTGAGCCCATTGTGCCCCAGCACCATGTTCCATACAAGTGGGGGCACTTAGTGGGTCTCTGCTTCTCACTTCTGTTCCTTGTAAGCAGGCCCTGCTGTGGCTCTGTACCCTAAGCTGCTTACAGGGGGCCACAGTTCACGGTGATGACCGTCACTAATCCTGCCCAGCTCTGTAGGCTCTTTGAGCCACAGCTCATCAAACCTCAGTCCAAGGTTTCTATTCCCACTGAGGCTGTCCTCTGGAAAACAGTGTGTTTTCCTGCATTTGTCTTTTCCTGGTTTTCTTCATCCCCTCTTTTTACCTGAACTACAGGCTATTCTCACCCCCCTCCCACATGCCCATCTTTGTCACCTGGGCATCTGTCCTGGTTTATTTGGGCAACTACAGCCACCATAGCCCAGCATCCCTGCCACTTTGTCCCCCAGGAGCAGAAGCTTCCTCCTGCCCTATCTTGACGGTGCTCATAGATGAGGACACTGAAGCCCAAGGTTCACCAAAGTCACCAAGCTAACCTAGGTGGAGTCTGACCTCTGTGGGAGGTCAGGAGACACCCACAAATCAAACCTTCTAGCATTCAAAGCCAAAGGGAGACTGCTCAGTACTGTAATCAGTCCTGTCACTCTTCCAGGTACCTGCCTGCTTCTGCACAGGTCCCCAGGGCCTCACACACTTCTGGCAGAGTGCCCTGATAATTGGTGCTGGCACCCCCTTCCTTCTCCCTCTCCCAGGGGTCTTTAATGCACACCTCTGAGAGTGTTCCGTTCTCCTCCTAGCAGCCACCCTAGAAAGGTGGCCCTGGCCCGTGTTCCCACAGCTATGTGCTTTAGATTAGTGTGTACAACTGCCTCTCATGTGCAACTCACCTGGATCTCTGTTCTCAATGATGGTTACCTGCAGGGAGAACTTGTGATGTCAGAGGGCAGCAGGGATCCTGTTCTTGGTTGCTTAGGTTGGGCTTTGTTTTTACCTGTCTGGTCATGTCAGGACATCTGTACTCACATGATCCCTTCTTGGCTTTAGTCCCGCCAGCTTCTGGGCTAAGTGTGGCCACCAAGCTGCTGCCTTGCCCCTTTATAAGTTCAGTTGTAAAAGAACCAACACAGGTTCATGACAGTCACAGCAAAATAAGGTATTTACAAGAACCTGCAGAACTAATACCCTTGTCACTGGATGGGGAGCCCAGTCCTCAGTGCTGCAGAAAACCATGTGTAGAGGCTCTAGAGACAGGAAGAGGACCAGACAAGGACATGCTCATACTCAACTATAGAGCAACTTTAAGGTGAGCCTGGGCTACATGTGGTAGGAACCTTAAGCCAGTATCACTCACTGAGCACCCACGAAGTGCCCAGTCTTACGACAGGGAGGAATACGCTGGTGGTGAAGGCTTGTGTGTTGGATGTAGGGGGCAAATGAAACACTACAGCCTGGGACTTCCCAGGGTATCTGAGAGTGTTGCAAGGAAGGGAAGTCTGTCCTAAAGAATTTAGGACATAATTTTGTTCAAGACACTCATAGTTTGAGTTTGTTTGGTGTGTTGAGTGTGTGCGAGACATAGCAGCTCTGAGTGTGCCGACAAAGATGGTGAGTCTCCAGAAGGAACCGGACAGCCCGCAGCATTTCCCAGACTCACGGCTGCAGAACCCAGCTCCGCTTTGGGCAGTGCATCTCCCGGGGCCAGTTTGAGAGGCCCCCCTTCCACTGAGATTACGTAAGCTGCAAGGGGCATGATTGGGCGCGCTTTTTACTTTTATTTCTTTAGGTGCAGAAGATGGGTTGGGAGACAAAAAGACTGAAAGTGAGGAAACCTGCTCCTGGTGGCAGCTGCTGGTGCCCACAGGCAGGGACATACAGTATCTCACTAAACCCTGTGGGGGAGATGCTGTTGCCCATGTGCTTATATGGGAACAGGGGAACTTGGACTGGTTATGTAATAGCATGGAGTAACCTGGAGAAAAGTGGGCAGCTGGGGTTTATCCCAAAGGCCACCTGCCGAGCACTCTGCCACCAACAAGGATGGAAATAATGTAGCCAAAGATGACATGCAGTGAGGACAGTGGGACAAGACAAGATGGCTATGCAGCAGGAGAACGCCAGGCATGAAAGAAGCAGAGGATGTGGCCTGAGGGGGGCGTGCACCCTCCCCATCCTCTTCTTCCTCAGGGGTGACTTAGGCACTCTGTCCCCTTCTGCCCTACATCCTCCCTGTAGGCCATGAAGAGGAAGAAGCATAGTAGCCCTGCCCATCTCTCTAGGCAACATCCCCAGCTTTCAATGAGCAGCCAACTACCCAACTACCAGGCAGCTTAGCCCTCGTGTCCTGCTAATGATAGAGGATCTGGGAAGCCACGGTTCGTTTCCACTCATACCTGCTCTTTGAGTGCTGCCTCCACCAAGACCCTCAGGCCCTTAGGCTCCAGGGATGCCTGCAACACAGGCTCTGCCTTCTAGGGGTCTGGTTCAGAGGCCACGCCAAGCGAGGCCCAAGTCAGTACTTGCTGAGGAAAAAATGTAATGTGAGCCACACATTTGAATCACATGGGGAATTCTGAGTAAAGCATGTAAAGAGTAAAATGAACAAGTGGGGTTGATTTTAATAACATATTGTACCCAACGTTCTAAAAATATTACCATTTCAACATGAAATCAGTATAAAGATTAGTAATGAGATGTTTCACATTCTTTTCTAAAGTCACTGAAATCTAGTGTGTATTTACACTTTGAGCACATCTTAATTTGGACCCAACACATATGGACATTGGCTTCTGTGCTGGCCATTGCCCGCGTAGCCATTATCAAATGTTGGTGTATCTTTGTGAACTAAGTGATTGAATGGGGGAGAGCCAACTAGAAGCCTGCAGGGCTTCCTGGGAGTCTGCAGTCTTGAACTTGTACAGATCTTTTCTGGCCCTTGCTCTGCCCACCCCTTTTCCTACTTGTGTTCAAGCTATGTCGTCGGGCTGTTGAGAGGACAGAGTCTGGCTTTAGAGATAAAGTTCCATGAGGAAAGCTGAAAAGTTGGCCCTCTATTGATCCACATCATAACTGCAAAAGCCAAGCATGTTCTTCAAAGTGTATTTGTTCACCAGGCATTTAGTAAGCAGGTTCCTCCCTCCCCAAGTCCCATTCAACCTACTGCAGGCACAGCAAAGGAATAGACTGTTTCAAATGAGAGCATGAGGGTAATGGGCCAGAGACTCCACCATAAGCCAGTCACATGTCAGCAGAGGCCCTGAGCACTTACAGCCCTGGAGACAGCATTTGACCTGTGCAGGACCTTGAAGGACAAGACCACATTTGCCAGGATGATCAGAATTGGGGCAGTCACTCTTCTTTGAGAGGCAGATAGGAAGTGAATAAGAGCCCAGTGCCACATGGGAGTTTTCCCAGATTGGGCGTGAGTAAACTTTGGGAAAGATCTACATGGTGCTACTAGCAAAACGTAGGCATGCCAGCTTAGGACAGGAGCAACCACTGATGGTTTTTTAAAGTGTGTGTGGTGTGGTGTGTGATGCCATACATCAGTTTATAAAGTCCCCCTTGACCTGAGTAGAAAATGAAGAGCAGAACAGGGATTCTACTGAGAGACAATTGTGACAATCCAGGCCAGAGAGGAGGCCAGAACTAAAAGGCCTGCAGAGGGAAGCCTGAGAGAGTGTGGGTCAGGAGTAGAAGAGTACCTGGTTGGCTCCAGGCTCTAACATCGGTACCTTGAGCTTTTTCCCAGGCCATGCGTAGAGCTGCATGGAGCTATCTCAATGTGAACTGATGTTTTAAGTTTCCACTTTAATGCAGCTACAAAGACTCCATCCCACTCGGCTGCCGCCTCCCAAGATCCATCGTTCAAGGCCCGTGAGTAGCCGATGGTGTGCCCTCCCCGTCTAACACTGCCTGTCCCTCTCCCCTGGCCTCACTAAACCTAGAGTGTGGACTCTCCTGCCTGGCACAAGGAAACTGGGAAATGGGTTTTCAGCTTCCCTCGCTGCGTGGCATGAGCCAGAACTTGCATTTTTCTGGGCTTCTCTCTCCTTTTTCTGAAATCAGTTCAGTGACTTGCAGGCCGTAGCCATGGGTAGCCAGGCTGCTGTGTGCAGCTTCACATCATTTAAGTGAATCTCCCAGAGAGAGCCGTATTTCTAGCCACTGAGCTCTAATGGCTCACTGCAAATGCCTCTTCCTCACAGAGGAAGCCACAGTCTGACGGCAGGGGTCTTATTCCCCCCAGGTCTTGGTTGGGAAACATTTGCTGTACCTTCCCAAGGGCTGAAAACATAGTGCCCAGATAGATAGAGACAGGTGCTGTCCCCTCCTAGGCTTCACAAAGAGAGATACCTGCCCACAAAAAGTACTAAGGAAGGGTTTGTAGAACAGCAATGTACTGTCCTAACCAGTCAACCACTGTGAACAGAGTAGGACATGGAGAAAGGCCCACATTTTAAAGAGAAATGCCAAGGGCTTGAGATGTGCCCGGGGACAGAGTGCTTGACTGACATGACAGAGCCTTAGTTTGACTTGCAGCATCAGTGCTGAGCATCCACGTGCTTCTTTTCCCGTGTACACAGACCTTCCCCTCCTGGGATGTAACTTTCTCAGTGTGAGAGAAACCTACTGGATGGTTTGATGGGGCCACTTCCCAAGGGAAAGGTCTCCAGTCTATTGTCCAAGGTAACCATGCCCAAGCATAGGGTCAGCTATAGTCAGAGCTCCTGAAAAACTAGTGTGCCAGCCTTTCCTGGTGCATCCCTCCAGATCCATCTGATGAAGGCACAAAGACCATCCTTTGCAGGGACAAGGCTAAACCAGATGTCTGTTGGAATCCATGGTGTACTCACCCAGCATCCACTGGGTAGCTACTGTCTGGGTGGATGTCAACATCCTGTGCTTCTGTTTCTTTCTTCCCCACTGAGTACAGAAGTTAGAGGTTTGAGATAGAGAAGAGAGATGTAAGTTGGGAATCTACCATTCCAGCCATGTGAGGTGATGGACCCATCCTGTGACCCTATGAAAATGTGATTCACCCAAATCCCAGTTGGCACAGCTGCCAGGGGCCTGGAATTTTCTACCCCCATCATCAGAAGGAAGGGACAAACATCAAAATAACATGCTCTGGGGGACCCAGATTTGACCCAGAAGTATATCCGGGTCAAATCTTGTATAGTGCAGCAAATGTTTCAGTACAAACCTTAGCAATATGGATTTGGGATTATCAGGACTGGGCCAGAATGCTGAGGGTGTATATTTGGGCAAGGACCAGAGCTCTCCAGCCTGCCCTCCTCTTTTACACCAGGCCCTCACTCATAGTGTAGAAATGAACACAGAGGATTTTTGGAGGGCATTTAGAACAGAACCGGGCACACAGTAGCTGCTTTTACTCTTCCTAACATTTTATTAAAAGCCATTGTTTGCCTAGGATTTTAAAGCCACCAAACCACTTTGGGGGACCTCATCTCGGCTGAGCATCAGAGTACTCTGTGTGCTAAGCATTGTGGTCACCCATTTTAGAGAAGATGTTTAGTAGCTTAACCCTTACCAAGGATCATCAGATTGTAGAACTCAACAGTCCTGGTGTCCCAGGTTCCCTGGGCCTCTGTCTCTGTGGAAATGAGATGAGCTCAGCAGTCCTGGGGCAGAGACTTCAGCTGGGAAAAAAACAAAACTGAGCGCTGGCCAGATGGGTTTCCTGTGAGGTCTCTGGGGCAAAGTTCTGTCATGGCAGGGATAAGAGGTAGGAACTGTAAATACCTTTGAATGTGCTTAGGACTGAGCTGGGATAAGAGGTAGGAACTGTAAATACCTTTGAATGTGCTTAGGACTGAGCGGGGTGCTCCATATTGTCTCATCTGCCCTTGCTCCAGCCCACAGAAGGCAGATGTCATTTCCCTAGTTTGTAGACAAGACCACAGAGATAGTAAGAGACTGTGCTGGCCTTTGAGACCAGACCTTCTTCTCTAGTTCTCAACAGACAGCTTTTAGCAGCCACAGATGGGGAGTTGGGGGCGGGGGGCAGCCTTAGAGGCCTGGGCTCCAGACAGCCAACAGGTCAAAGAGGGTCTCTGAGAAAAACTCAAGTACTAGAGACAGCTCTAGTGGATCCTGGTCCTACCAGTGTGGGGACTTGGGTAGATTGTGGGGTGTCCAGGCATCTGAGAACTTGAGCAAGCAAATGTTACCCCAAAAGAAGACTGGGTAGCAGCTGCCTCTGCCCCTAGGCAGGGCAAGAGGTGATTGACTGGCCATGTTCTTAGGGTTCCCCCTCCTTTGCAAGCAGAGCCACTGAGAGGCAGTTTAGGAGGCTAGAAGATGTTGTCTGGGGCCCAACATCCCCAGGCCACAAAGACTATTGTTCATTCATGTCAGCCTGTCCAGTGGACACCAGTCCACACTTGGTGGGAAGGAACTAGAGAGACCTGGGGCATAGAACTCCTAAGGGCCACAGAAATGACAGCCTGACAGGATTCCATGTCAGGATTTGCTAGGTCACCTGGATGTAGACATCTGGCTAAGCTGCTGGCCAGTGTGGCGAGGCCATGCGGTGGTAGGCGCTCAGCCTTAACAACAGGGATCCTGGAACTCGGCGGCTGTGGCTGGAGCTCAGCTGTGACCAGAGGATCTGAGGTGTCTTCTTAATAAGGGGAAGGAAAGAGCAAAAGAAAATCATGCTGGTGTCTCCTAGATGAAGGACAGTGGCTGGAGCCACCAGGGAGAGGCAGGCTGCTGTGGACCCACATGCGAAGCACTTTATAAGCTCTTTATTTATTATTTCTTGCTCACCATTAAAATCAAATGTACTTGGTGCTTTTGTATTCAATACACACTTAACCCTGCTGACTTAGATTTCTCAGGTTTTGAATCCGGTGGGGAATTGGCTGGCTTCCCAACTTTCCCCTCCAGTCCCCTGAACAGAGCTGGAAAGCCCTGTTTAGCATTCTCTCCCCTGGCACTGTTGAGATCCTAGCAATGGTGAGCCAGCCCCTGTTGTGTATGGGAGCGCTTTTTCCCTCCACCCAGCCATCACCCTTCCTAAGCAACCCCAAAAGAGGGATGGTACTGTTGAAACACACTGGGGCTAGCTGCATTGTCTTTTGATTCAGCTTTGATTAAACCATTCCCTGTGTGTATCTAGGCCTGGTTGCGGCCGGCCACTTCATGGTGTGTGTGTGTGTGTGTGTGTGTGTGTGTGTGTGTGTGTGTGTGTGTGTGTGTGTGTTCACCTCTTGTGCATGCCTTTGTGGATGTCTGTTTGTGAGACTATACACACTATAGTCTCCGGCCCTGGTGCATTTGAATGTTTGTCTGTAATGATAATCCTACACCAGTGAGGTGTGTGTGACTCTGGGTGGGTCTGTAACCATGGGGGTGACTATCTCTGGTCCGTTGTGTCTTTCCCACCCTCCCTCGCCCCCCCTCTCCCTCCTCTGTCTGTTTTATCATCCCTAATGAAGCAGTCTCCTCCATCGATCCTGCTGATTGCCAACCCATTCCTTTTGTTTGTTGGCGCTGAGCCATTCAGCAGCACTCTGACAGCTCAGCTCGTCTAATTAGCTCTGTTGTTCTTTTTCCCCATGTTTCACCACGTTGCAAGTTCAGTTGAAGTTGCCACAAACTTAATCCCTCCATTTCAGTAGCAAGTTCACATTCTTAACCTGTCTTCATTGTAGCAAGGAGCAGCCCTGTGCAGGACAAGCCGACAGGCCATAATGTCTGACCTTTCTGAGTGCAATCCCCAGGTCTCCGGCAAAGGCAAAAGACCTCTTCCACCCAGCTGCACTCTCCTCCTTTGCAGGCATAGTCTCAGGGATCCAAGGGGCCTTGCTGGGAAAACCAGCTCCATATGAGAATAAAGGCAGATACAGCCATCCATTTATTCAGCAAATGTTGACCAAATGTCTGTTGGGTGGCAGGCACCATTCTAATAGCAATGACAACCACAATAGTATTTACCGCTGTTAGATTCCGGACAGTAATGCTGGCCTGTCTACAAATCTTTCTGAGGCTCCACTATGTACCAGGCACCTCACGGGATGGCGGAAAGGATTTAGACGATCTGCAGTCTATCTTCGTACCTGCACCCCCTTCCTCCCTTCTTCCTTCTGCTGTTGATAATAGGGGGCATCTAGATCACAAAGAGGCAGACAAGCATTTCTGGAGCCCCTGCTCTTTACCATGTCCACACCAGCTGTTCCCCACACGCTGTGGTTGAGTCTTAACAATAGCCCCGTGGAAGAAGACGGTATGTTTTGTGGAATGTTCTTGGCCTTTACCACATCTCTGATTTGCCAAATGAGGCTGAGCTCAGACTGGCCTCTCCACAGGAAAATCTTTGGTTTGGTCAGACGTGTGCAGACCTGAGGGCTCCTTGAGACTCTGTCAAGACTGGTCTCGTATGCAGCCACCTTCTGTGATCTTGTTCCTCACCATTGTGCTGTTACCCACCAGTTGCGGAGGGTGGGGAAAGGGCAGTAGGTAATGGAGTGTGTGCTCTCCTTCCCATCTGTCAGCAGAGCTCGGCTGGTGTATCATTGCAGTTGCAGGGAATGCAAGCCCCCTGTGCCTGCTGCAATGTTGGCTTGTCTTCATGATCAATAAGAGCCACAGAGGGGCATTCTCACCTCTCTTCCCAAACCTTTTGACATTGGAGGAAGTGGTCAGAGTACCACACATAAAGCTACATAATGATGATTGGACCAAATGAGACGCATCCTAAGATGCATACCTAGAAATTCATGACCTAACATCCATCACAGGCTCTAATGGGTCAAAGAAGGAGGCATGTCTCCTCTGAGGCTTCATCTTGGTTTTCAGAGGTGGCAGCTCAGAATGGACCCATCTACAGTGTCTGCTGCCCTCCTGCACCACTGACACCCTAAGCTGTGCTTTGTGAAGCATGCAGTTGAGCCCTGCTGGAAGACAGACATGGGGTGCCCCGGGAGCAGGCTGGTTTGGCTGGGCACTCTCTGGAGCTGTCACCTGCTTCCCCCTTCTCTTCAGAGAAGAAAATAAGTATCCTATAATTTGGCTGCAAAATTATATTGAATATGTTTATCCCCAAAACAGGCGTGGGTGGGACCTCTTTGTTCCACATACTTATAAGGGCTTTGTGGGGTCCACCTCCTGTGTAGTTCACACCTCACTCAGCCCTCTGAGAAGCCAGTGGGTCTGTGGGTGAAGAAAGCCTTTCACATTAAATTCCAGGTAACAGATCCATATGCTGTCTGTTAAATGGTGGTGTTTTGGTGACAAGCAGGACTCTGAAAGCCCAGACCGGTAGAACCTCTAACCAAGCCTTCTGGGCCTGACTATCCAGATGTTCACAATGGACTTGTGGAGCCTTTCCAAATCACTCCTTCTTGGGGACTTCCCCATGCTCATCCTTAGGTACGACCGCCTCGTCCGCATGTTGTCAAGAGACCGAAGAGCAACATCACTGTGGAAGGCCGGAGGACATCTGTCTCAAGCCCTGAGCAGTGAGTACTGTTGCCACCACTTTTCTGTCCCTAAGAAACCAGTGGTGACCAGGCATGCAGTCCCAGCCTCCTCTTGGAGGCTCCTTGAAATCCTGAGCAGGTGTTTCACAAGGAGACCAAACGGGGACAGGGCTTGGTCCTTGGTGTCAGAGTCTGAGCTTCTGTTGTCACATTATCAAGAGGCCCCCACAACAGAGAACCTGGACTATGTTTGATTGGTGAGGCCCAAAGGGCACTCAGTCACACTCCAAAGGTCCACAGGTTAGAATAAGCTACCTTACCAAAGGGGTTGCCAGCTTAGCAAAGCCCCGTCATTTTAGGCCCGGTGGGGTTCGAAGTCTCCGTCGTTTGAGTTTGTTACACACAAGACATCCTTACCCTTGGTCTCTCCTGGGCTATAGCACCTGTGCTACTAGGACTTGGCTTCAATATCCCCTCTGACCTGCAGCTCCTCATGGCACCCCAGGACCCAGCCTAGCACCAGCTTTGGTCATCTCCTGCAGCTGTTGGGTAGGTGGAGTGACTGAACCTGCAGGGTCAAAAGCTGGAGACAGCCTCAACTCTCGAGCCAACAGGAGAAGGCCACGCTGTTTCTCCTGTCCCAGTGTACATAGTCCTTGGCCTCTGTCCAGACAACTGGGCAACTACTCAACAGCTTCCTGGGGTATCTTTAGAATGTTCAGGAATCCATCTTGGCCTAGGGTTGTTTGAGGGCTGAGGAAAACACACACACACACACACACACCACCACCACCACCACCACCACTGTCCTTTGTGTGCCCCACTTTACAAAGAACTGATGCCAAAATAGAGAAAAGATTCCAAAATGTCAGGCTGTGATCTAGCCTAGGTGCACTTCAGTTCTCCCATGATCCTCTGCTTTATTATAGAACCAGCTTGAATGGTCTTTACCCAGAGAACACAAGAATGGGGAAGAGGGAGAGAGAGAGAGAGGAGTATGCATGTATGTGTTTCTGGAGATGCTGGGATATGTGAGATTTTGAAGAGGGGACACCTGAAGTTGGGGCAGGTTTAACTTGGGTTCTGCACATTGGCATGGTCGGAATATTGAGGGACATCTCCCTTGCCATGGATTATGACTGCCCCCTTGTGGTGAGAATGCTGCATGGCTCTGGTTTTCCCCTTGCCCTAAAGATTTCTCTTGAGGAGGATGGAATTAACCACCTCTTGTAGCTGATCAGCCTTTTACACAGTGTCCTGGGATAGAGGCCATGGACCTGTAGATATTGAGTTATAAACTCAGGATGTTCTTGCACCACACACACATTCATTCCCTTTCTCTTTCTCTCTCTCTCTCTCTCTCTCTCTCTCTCTCTCTCTCTCTCTCTCTCTCTCTCTCTCAAACCAGACCAGCAGCAGTCCATATCCTACAGAAACACATTCCCCATTCTGTGTCCTGATTAGAGATTGGACTTGCCAAACACATTTATTTATGCTGTTTTAGTGTGTGCAGAGAGCCGATTGTGTTGAGAAGGTGGCTCTTCTGTTAATTGCCTTAGCCTTGTTGGTATCACCTCAGTATTTTCATGGAATGTGCCTGTCTTAGATTTCTTTCCAGAAAGCATCAGGTTGCAATGAACTGGACAAGAGTGTGGGAGCTGGTTCAGGGTCTGGCAAACAACGGTGACAGGAATTAAAAGACTGGTTTGTGAGCAACGCTCAGCACAGCTCAAGCTGGCCAGGAGGTAGCAGGGAGTGCCTAAGACGTCATTCCTAGGGTTTCTTTTCACATTGTCTTAATGAGGAAGAGGGGAGGCTGGGCTCCCATCATGCCAGTGACATTTCTGGTGCCACCCGGGTATTTTCCTGCATCTCTTCCATGCTGCCATCCCCCTACACCCCCCCATGCTCCTCCACTTCCAAATGCCATGTCACAACAGCACTTGGATGTGTTTCTCTCAACTGTCACCAGCTCCAGCTGGCAAGACCAACTTCTTGAAACACAGGGAGCATCCAGCGGAAAATATTTTAATAAAACAGATTCCTCATAAAATATTGTTCTAGAAGGGAAGGAAAACAGCGCCACCAGTCTGTCGGCTTTGTGTTGGGAGAGTTGGGAGGAGGGGCCAGCAGGCAGGAGCGTCCAGTGGGTCTTTGTTGAGGGTGGTCCCAGGGGCACACGTGGACTCAGGACCTGTCGTCCATTCTGACTTTTTTTGAATCCTGGTTCTTGGTCTCTGCTGGGTGTAAGTGCACTGGGATCCTGGAGACCTTGGGTTGTGGGGAAAGGGTGACCCCTCTTCCTGCCTGCCTGGCCCTCACTGCAGGGTGACCCCTCTTCCTGCCTGCCTGGCCCTCACTGCAGGGTGACCCCTCTTCCTGCCTGCCTGGCCCTCACTGCAGGGTGACCCCTCTTCCTGCCTGGCCCTCAGATCAGCAGCACATTCAGTAGTTACCTCTGTTTAGCATGATGGAGCTGCTTAAGAACTGAGCAACTCTGAGATCCAAGATCCAGCAGCAGCTGGCAGCTCTCAGCTGAAGTCCATTTCTTCCTTTCTTGCTGACATGCCTCTGTCCATTGCTCCATCTGTTCATTCATGCCCATTCTTTCATCAGACATCTTTGAAACCCTACTAGGCACATGCTAAGAGGCCTTCAGAGGGAGTTCCCATGGTGACTCATCTATTGACTTACATTTACCCAAAATGAAATTTCCTTCATGAATTAAGGTTTCCTAGCCCCTTAAGGCCGTTTCTTGGCATTTGGATAAGCACTTCAGGAGATTTTTAGGGAAACAGTCTATGTTTCTCAGTCACTAGTCACTAATTAGCATGAGGTTAAGGGCTGGGGAGATGGCTCAGTCACTGTTAGCACCTGAGTTTGGATCCCCAGCACCCAGGTAAAAGCTGGATGTGGTAGAGCATGTCCGTAACTGTAACACTATGAGGACAGAGCACACTGGTCAACCACTCTAGCCAACAGTGAGCTGTGGGTTCAGTGAGAGATAATCTCAAGATAATAAGGTAGAGAGCAATAGAGGAAGATGTCGGATTCAGCTTCTGGCTTCTGCACATGTGTGCACACCTACACATACACATGCACACAGACACTATACAGACACACTCAAAAATGAAAAACAACGTAATTAGCTGTTCTTTCTCTCCAAGAAGCATTAGCTCCTCCCCCATTGTTTTTTCTAAGAAGCATTAGCTCCTATTATTCAAAGCAGGAGAGGCCTCCTTTAGATGCTAGTTAGCAAAACATTCTACTGGGCCCCAGATCTATCCTGTGTGCTAGCCCTTTCCCCTTGGCAGGGGCCCACAGTTGGTAGGTAGCAGGGCCAGTTAAGTTCTGCCTCCTGGTCCTCACCATTGCACACTGCTGCCCTCCTTAGCATAGGACCTATGTGGGCCCTTTGTAATCTGGCTTTGCCCAAAGACCCAGTTTTGTGTCCCAAAACAACTTGCCCAGCTTGCCAGCCCTCTTCCCAGGTTCCTTAGAACCTGGAGTTGGGAAATGGGTCTCCTCAGATCTGCTGTCACAGAACCATCCTCACAGGAGCCTGAGCATTTCCACTTGGGGAAGGAGAAAGAAGCAACATGAACTGAATGCCACATCCTTTAGGACCATAGTGGGTAGGTAGTGCTGATCCAGGTTCTTGATGGAGAAGTGAGCCTCAGGCTGCAGCTTTATCGTAAAGCCAAAGTCCAGGGCCATGACTGGTAGGACCTCCAGGCTCATGACGGAAGCTTCCCCACCATCCAGCCTTGTTATTCAAAACCTGATTATGCCTCAGCAGCTCCTCAACCTCTACAGTGAGTGCAAAAGGGGTCACACCCCCCTTGTTAGAGGTGGCCTCAGTTTCCAGCCAGAGCATGCCTGGTTGTCAAGCCACAAAGTATTTCCACCCAGCTTGCCAGGTGTTGGGGAATCCCCCATCCAACTTGCTTCTTAGCCAAAGTCCATGGACAGCTCTGGGAGTATTGTGATCAGCATCACACACACCCACAAGACCCCACACTAAGACTGAGCCAAGAGCCCAGTGAGCACAATGACCTCCAGGTACCCCTCAGGTTCCCCATGAGGAGGCTGCAGTGGGACCAGGGCAGCAGCCCTCACTGAGTGGCTGAGTATAGAAGGATGTCACCTGTGTATGCCCCTAGTTCCTCTTCATGGTACAGCAGTAGGGCCACCTTCTGGGTCCTAAGGATAGGAACTTGCAGATGGTGGCGGACATGAGGGGCTCTGTCCTGATCACCTGCCCTCCAAGCTCTCTGGACTGTGTGGCTTGTCTCTACATGCAGATTCTGCTGGCAGTAACCTATCATTTAAGTTCCCGTGTGCTAAAGAGGAGCCCAGATTTAGCCACCACTCCCACCAGATACATGAAATCTGTCTTTGTAAAAAATTTTGTCAGAATAATGCAATAGCCTTAGAGACAGCTTAGAGACCAGGAAAGGGAAAAGTTCACTATGAATCACACTACTTTGATTCAACCACACAGAAGTATTTGTGGTAGCTGGGTATTGTTAGCACAGGCCTTTAATCCTAGCACTTAGGAGGCTGAGGCAGGTATATCTCTGAGTTCCAGGCCAGCCTGGTCTACAGAGCAAGTTCCAGGGCACCCAGGGCTACACAGAGAAACCCTGTCTCAAAAAACCAAATATATTTGTGTAGAGTCCCCTCCAGGCTTTGCCTAGTTATATTTTTGGAATTTCTCGGTCTGTGATATCCAACTGTATGGACTTGTCACTTACGTCTTGATAACTTCTATCATTTGTGACTACAGTGTGTGTGTGGGGGGGGGGGTTAAATCTGCCCCAATACTATACCTTTAGAGTTTGTTCCCAAGGTTTCATTCATATGAAAAATGCCAGGGTAATACCCCTGCTCACTGAGCTTTCTCTCATTCTGTATCACTATAAGAAATGAATCCCAACACTACAATTCACACTTTACGTGTGACATTTCATTGCATCCTCATGAGAAGTTGGGATATGGGGGACATGAGCTTTGTCCTACAGAAATGGCTCAGAGTTGAAGGTCCGGCCCTGCCCTTGGTGACGCAGTCGGTGGCAGGGATGGGCTTCAGCCCTGTCTCCTGATGCCCAGCCCAGTGCCCCTGTCAGTGCTGTAAGAAGATGTCTGCCCTGCATGACTCGACACACAGAAGCCACACTGCCTTTCCTCCCGACAGAGCTGCACCCCAGCCCCTGGGCAGCCAGCAGCACTGGGAATTCTCCAAATGGGGCAAGCTGCAGGTGCACTGGCTGCATCGACAGTCTGCCCCAAGTGGAGCCCACACTGCCGAGGGCAGCCATGTGTGACTGCATTTGTCTCAAGTGTACTCTGTGGCCCTTGCACCAAGGCCCCAGAAGATGAAAAGCGATCAGAAGCCATTGCCAGAAGCGTTTGCTGAGGACTGTGCCCAGAGTCCACATCTCTGTGGACTTAGCACTTCCTCTGCTTACTCCCCTTTACTGGCAGAAGACAAGCTGCTGTAGCACTATGAACATGCCTCACATTCTTGGTACTGGATCAAAACAGCCAAGCCTTTTCCCTCCTACACAGCCCAGAGCTACCCCAAGGATGGAGTCACTCATTTGGACAGAGGCCTGGTGCACAAGTGGACTTCCCCGAGGTGGCATCCCAGCCCGCCACCTCTGAGGCTCCAAGGCTTCTCTACCACCTCCTTGTAACACCGTATCTGAAAGTATCCAGGAAAGCCACAGTTGGATCCTAAATTAGGGGACATGTGGCTTTCCCTCACCCTCACCTCTTCAGCAACTGCCAGTCTCAATCCTCCAACACCCTGGTGTTTTCCCAGGACCACACACTTCCCTTCCCATGCCCCAGGCCCTGTGTGGACCTGCACTGTTAAAATTCCTCTGGATATCCCATTCTCACTCACAGGCACCTATTTATGGAAGTGTGCATGTGGACATGGACACACGCTCTGAGCTTCTCCAGGGCAAGAGTTGCATATTCTTCAGCTCTGACTTTGACTCCCAAACCAGTGCTTATCCAGTCTTCTGCTCAAAGATGTTTCCTAAATGGAGGACCATGGGAATTGATAAAGGCAGATACTGTTGTTCATAGTCCACTAGCCCTGGAGATCAAGCAGGTATCAACAAAAACCCCTGCCAGGCACCTACTGTACACCGGCTGTATGTGGAATGTGACCGTGAAGCTGTCTACCTCACATGGAGTATGACTGTTTGCACCTTGCCTTCTCTAACCCTGGAAGAGCTATGAGCTACTGCCAGCCCAGGAGCAAGTCTCCAGGATGCCAGCTGGGCCTGGGCCCCAGGGGGCAGGGCAGCTGTCTTGGTGCTACCCCCTGGAAGGCTGCCAATACCCACTGCCTGAGCAACCAGAAGTCCAAACACCTTCACAGAAGGTCACAGACCCAATTAGCAGAGCAAGAGGCCCCTGGCCTGACTCCCCATCCTCCCCAGTGGATTCTGGGTGGTAGAGACAAAGAGAAGCTGGAAGCCAGATAAGGAGCGGGAGCCAGGACTGGAAAAGCGGGAACCAACAGGAGCCCACATCCAAGACTGTCCAAACTGGGGGTGTCTCTACCCCCACTGACAACAGAACACCCTCTCGGGCTGATGGTGACTGGTGACAGCAATGGCCCTTGTTTGCTTCAGTGTCTCTTCACATGACTGAGTGCAAAGGTCCCACAACAGTCAAGGAGAGCTGCACTTACCCACCCATACCCTCTCCCCACACACAGGGAGGACAGTTCTCATGTGCTGTCACCACAGGGAGTTTATTCCCTCTGGGAAGCTCTAGGAGTCACCTCTAAAGACATTACCAGTTTACCTGAGACCCCAGCCTCTTACACATTCCATGTTACCCCGACTTAGTAGCTTGCATTCCCAGGCCCTCACGAGACTTGGCTCACCTCCCTGAGCCCAGCCAGGACAGCGAGCCCCTCTCAAACACAAAGGACCAGGCCTCCAGCAAATGGAACAACTTGCTGAGTCTAGTCCCATACCTAGGACTGCCGTGAGCGCTGCTCCTTCTGCCACTGCCGCTGTGGCCTTCGGGCAGGCACCTTCCTGCTCCTGACCAGACAGCAGCTCAGCCTTCCCAAGCCACCAGTCCTTATGCTATTCTGAGGCCCTTGCTCCCAGGTCCACCCTTTCCTGAACACCCCATCCATCCTTGCTGCTTTTCAGAGGTACCTCTGGCCATCAAGCCACACTTGCTCTGCTCGGGATGATAGTATGGAGTCTATACCATTGTCCAGGGAGCCTCAACCAAGATCTATGAGCCAAGGGTATCCCTGACCCCCACTGACTCCTGGCAGAGCCAGTCTCCAAGGGAGTGGACAGCAGAATACCTCTTGTTCTGACGGTGGCTGCGATGGCAATGACCCTCATCCTCAGCAGATATTCACGTAACTGTACAAAGGCCCCTCCTGTGCAGCTAGCTCCTGTGTCAGCACAACAACCCTTCCTTTGGCTCCTTGGGAACAGTTCCAGGCCAGCTCCCAGAGGTACCCACCTTACTTTCAGAGCCCCTCTGCTTTTTTAGCCACTGTCAAGCCTGTGTTCGGGGACTGGCCTTTATCTTGGGGTTGGAAAGATGTGGAAACTCTAAGGCTGGCTGGATGACACCCAAGTGCTGAGATAGAGCCAACAGAGAACCACTCACTTGGAAGGTAGCAACCACCTCTTCATCCCTGACCAGGATACAGGTGCCTGGCATCACCCTGTGAAGGGGCATTGGACAGCAGCTGAGGATTTGAGCAGTCACTACTTGCTAGGCACCATGCAAAGCCCTTGGTGAATATTTTACCTCTCTGCTCAGACCTTTGGGAAGGCAGCAGCATCTCCATTTGCAGAGAACTCAAGGTCCAAGAAGGTAAAGTGACTTTGCCAAGGTGTCCGGAAAGAAAGGTAAAGGAGATAGAAAGTGCACAAGCTGGCCTTCTCGGGTGCCTGTCTACACACGTTACCCCACCAGGGCTGTGTCAGCAAGGGGCAAAAGTAGCCAGGCCATTTACAAAGTGAAGACCCTTTGTGCTGGAGTGAAATGATTCTTCTGAAATGGTCACGGTGTCCCTTCATTCCCTCAGCAGACCGAGGCCTGGCTGATTTCTTCCCATCTTTATCTCAAGTGCATTTAAATGTCAATTAAATTGGAAACATCTACATTTGTCAGCACTTCATTTCGGGCCAGCGTGACGTGCGGCTGATTTGTCCATGCAATGTGACACATAAAAAACTCGAGATGTAGATCTTCCTCATTAAAAAATAAGCCAGCGCGATCCTGGAGCAGCAGAGAGCACGGAGCACATCCCGGCTTCCTGACGCCGTGTCTCTGACATGGTATTTAAAAAGGAACAGCCTCGCCTGTCACCACTGTCACACACACGCGCTAACCAGAGACACGTTAAACCAAACATTAGAAAGGGCTCAGGAGTCATCCACATGGGAACTGCACTGCAGGGTGGTGGACGGGGCAGGGGCAGCAGGGGATGATAGGTCCAAGCCGTGATGGACAGAGCCTTTCTCTCGTGCCGTGACATCACAGTCTTTGCTAGGTAGCCAAGTTCAGCCAGGCCTGCCTTTTCCCAGACAGCCCCTTTGTGTGTAATAAAATCCAGGCAAATGGTGGGGGGCAGACTGCAGGGTAGTAGCTGAATTGGGTTAATGAGGGAAGAGGTACATTTTTTTATATTCTGCCTTAAGCTAATAAAAAATTTAAGCCTGGACGTTTTCGATGGTTCATCCTTTATCCCTGACAAATATCTGACTGTACCTTTCATAGGAGAGCATGAGCCCTGAATTTAAATAAGTTTATTTTGAAACTTCACCTTTCATTAAAAGTGGAAGGGAAACCCCCGACCTCTCGGTTCATTGTCCCAGGAAACAGGTGGTGCAGGACCCTGTGGTGCCCAGAGACGGGCAAATCCAGATGCCATTCCAGCCCCACATTTAGCTGCTGTGTGACCCCAGGCAAGAGACTCGCCCTCTCTGAGCTTTGGCCTCTTTGTCATGAAGAATTAGTAAGAAACTACGGACAGCATGTGAGTTCTTTGATGAGTTAATCACCATCCATGTGGCCTGGACATGACAAAGCTCTGATTGACCAAATCACGTGGCACATTTCACCCCAGTGCCCTGTCACTCAAGAAGCAATGGTGTGCTCTGAGCACCCAAGCCGGCCTGGCATACAGAGCCAGCTGGTCAACGTAGGGCTCCCTCTCCTGCATTCGTGGTTTGTGGGAGGCCCAGGGTGTCAGAGCCCTGCACTGCAGGACTTTAATGGCACCACAGTCCTGCCCAGGACAAAGGCTCTTGGCTCTCTATGGATGTGACAGACTTAGTGGCGGTCAGCCACCATGTGATCTGTGCCAGGGAAGGGGCCCATGCTTTACATGATTGTCAGACATTCACAGTGCATCTGAGGGTCACCAAGCTCTTAGTTCTATGTGACCCAGGTAAGGGTTTATGTCTTCTTGTCCCTGTCCACAGTCAATGCTGTGACCCTCAGGGCAGCCTGAGCTAGAACCCCCGAGTTGCTTCCTGGCTTGGTTATTTGCTCACTTCTCTGTCCTTCCTCAGTAATCCCCAGTACCTGACCAGCACTAGATCTGCTTATGCACAGGCAGGAAGTGGCCCTTGGGTAGATAGGTGCTCAGACAAATCAGGAGATGGCTAGACGGATGGACTCCATAAAGCTCGTGTTCTGGTTCTGCATGCTAGGTTGCTGTGCTCAGAGCCAATTCAGGTAGCAGGTTACCTCCAGCATTGACATCACAGCACCCCAGGGCTCTCCCAGTGCTGTGGCATTAACCTGAACCCTATCTTGAGGTTTCTGCCCTGGGTCCTGTAGACTCCATGTCTAAGCATCTCAGGGCAGGGAGGGATCCAAAGAAGGGCACATCTGTCAGAGCTCTAAAGTAATGGAAAGGTCTGTGTGAAGGATTAGGTGTTCCAGAAGGAGGAGGAGGGGATCCCCCGCATGCCAGCTCTCATCCTTTCAACCACTAATGCGGGACAGAACCCTGACCTCAAGCTCAGTCAGGAAAGGAACTGTGGAATAGTTCCATGATGCACCAAGACCCACAGCCAGGGAGAGTTGGGAACATTTGGGATGACATCTAGGGACATCCTAGGGATGACATTTGGGTCAGGTCTTCAAGATGAAAGAACAGTCTGTGTGCTGGGGATACACAGGCACAAAAGCTGAGTGACAAAGGACACCAGCTTGAGATAGTTCTCTGCAGCTGAAGTGGGCCAGTGGTGGGAAGGGACCTCAGGACTTGATCCTGCAACCCACCAATACCCAGCATTCACCTCAAGCTGCCCAGAGTGGAGTGAAAATGCTGGGCTTGCTGTCTTGCACCAGCTGGATGCCACCCCTTGCTAGAGAGCAGGGGCAGTAGAGAGAGGGCAGGGGCAATAGAGAGGGAATGGGGCAATAGAGAGAGCGGGGGCAAGAGAGAGAGAGCGGGGGCAAGAGAGAGTGGGGGCAAGAGAGAGAAAGCAGAGGCAATAGAGCGAGAGGGGGGCAGTAGAGAGCGGGATAATAGAGCAAGCAGGTTACCCCAGCATCTGAGTATTTCTCCTCCCCCTTCTACTCAGCCTTGTTGACTGGGAAAGCAGCAGGGACCTGGTCCTGTGCCAGGTCCGCGTCTCTGCCACCAGTCCTTCTCCAGCTGTGGAAGAGCTGAGGAGTCTCCTCCTAGGTATCCAGGCCGCCTGGAGTGGAGGCCAGCAGAGCCCTGTAGCCCTGCCTCCTCCTAGTGCATGACCCTGGGCCAGTAGCTTCCCCAGGAAGCCACAGCCTCCACTGAAGTCTGAGGACAGAACTAATGGCCAGCCTGTGGGGACACGGGGGAAGTGAGGGTGCACAGCTGAAGTGCTCAGCCTGGGGTGGCTCTGGAGCCACTTGGAGTAATAGCAGGTTAGCTCTAGCAATGGGATCACAGCACTGGCCACCCCAGGGCCCTCCCCTAAATAAAACCTGAAAGGGATTCCAGCCTAGAAAGTGCAGAAAGGCTGTGGTGAGAGCAGAGCCCTCCTGATAGCCTGTGTCTCCTCCCTGTCTCCCCAGACCTTCACTGTTGCCTCTTGGGGATCTTCATAATAAGCCCAGCTGCTGATAGGGCAGAGTTAGC